TTCCCTATCTCAACGCGTGCACTACAAGTTAGGTAACGAGTTTTGCTATATTGAAAAAATATATTTAAGACATTATTTTTAATTATTTGGGGTTTCTTTAAAAAAAACTAAGTTTAACAAGTTAGAGAGGGATTGTGCATTCCGTCTACCATCTACTTAAATAGTTCGTGATATTATTTTTTATAATCCGTTCAAAAATATTAATGTATTTGTTTACATTTTATGGACACATTCGAACTCTTATTCCAACCCCCAATCCGTAGTTAGTTAGTTTTTCTTAACCCCCAATCAACTCGATCCAATTGAATCTGATTCATGTAGCCGAACGAGACCACAATCACTAGACAAGTTACCATTCTTTTAGCCCTTTGTCCACAGTTAACAACAATGTGCACGGATGACAAACACGAACGCCAAACACAAATCATCGTAAATACGTAAGATGTAAATTTGCTTCTTCCGCGTTCGAACTTGTTTTTATCATTTCATCCTTTATTATTTGTGTATGTTCCCGCCAAGACAGAAAAAATTAACATAACAAGTCGGCAAGTCATTTCTTTCATCACCAAACTTACCATTATTTTCCCAATAATAGTTGCTTCAATCATTCTTGGGTTAATTTGTAATTACCCGCCTTCTAAGTAAATTTTATTTACTCCATAAGTAAATTATATTTATTAATCCATAATATTGTTAAATAGGCATTATTAATAAAAAAAAATAAACAAGATCAATAATTAATAAATTAAGCTATTAATATTAAGGTTGAAAATTGTTTATAAGAAGCTGCATTGACCACAAGAGAAATAGTATTGTTAAAATAAAATTAAGTTTGTTCGTGATTTGTAGGATTAATTGAATATCGACCGATTATTAGTCTGATACGACTGATTAATTTTAGTCATACCTCACAATCATTATTAATTCGACTTTTACCCGAATAAAACCGACACGTGAAGAGTCGTTGTTAAAACTAATAATATTAACGAAAATCAAGAATCAATTAAATTATCAATTAATTTGGCTCCATACCGTACATAAATGTACTCTTGAAAATTATGTATGAATGAAACATAGAGAGAGATATTTACCTGAAAAAAGAAAAAAAATAAATATAGTGAGATATTTATTTTTACATAATTCATAATATTAAGAAAATAAAAATATCCCCTAAAAAGTTATACTTGTGGAGTATATATAAATATCGAGTCCCATAACATAAAAAAATTGCACATAGTTAACAAATCACAACTCTCTCCCACAACTTAATTAACAGTCGCCGGAAAATCAAGAATATGGCCGAGTCGTGGTGGAGAGCGAGAATTCAAACGCCGGAATATCCTCCCCGACGATCAACTGAGTATGGTACAACCTCCGGCGACAACCCATTAATCGCCGAGGACTTCGCCGACGTTTTCGGTGGGCCCCCTCGCACAATTCTCTCCCACCAGTTCGCCACCAGATTCTCTATATCGTCGTCGTCGAGAGCAGGTACTGGTTTCTTCTACGAGGATATTTTCCGGGGGGCGGAGAAGGCGGCGAAGTCCGTTGAGAGGAGTGGCCGGAACCTGCCGCAGTTCAAAATTCCGGCGGGAAACCAGAGGAGCCCCGATCTTAATTACCAGCGGACCCGTCGGAACGGTAGCAGCAGCATTGATAGCGATAATTTCGGGTGGGATGATGAGAGTTTTGTGGTCCGGTCAAGATCACGGTCAAAGACGAGTTCTTCGTCGGCGTTCAGCTCCGATGACTTCAGTCCTCTCCGTCCGGCGATCTCCGACGATGCTTCCTTCTTCGCTCCGAAACTCCGGTACGTGTGTCTGTCTGTACATGTTTCATCTTTTTAAATATTCTTGACTACCATTTTTTATTGTCTGAAAATATTTCTAACACGCCGCTGTCGGAATATTCAGAGCCGGTCGGAATTCGACAAGAACGGGAAATTACCAAAAACCCCAACAAAAATCGCCATTTTTTACAGACAATAATAAACCCATTTTCAACTCCGAAAAAGACTTCTTTGAGAAGTCGAGCAACTGCCAATCAGCAGAAAGTATTAGCCACAGCAACTGCCACGTGTCAGCAGATGATTTGCACTTCAACTCACCTTCATCGGATGTTTCGTCAGCTTCACACTCAGACTCAGATCTAGAGAGAGAAACCTCCGAAATTGTGCATACGATTTGGAGACAAGATCACTTCATGGAAGAAGAAGAAGATGAAGATGAAGATGAAGAATCTGTATACTCATTTATTAATATTGAAATCAATTCAAATAATAACAGAGAACGAACATGTGAACCAGACGCCATAGACGAAGCTATCGCATGGGCAAAACAGAAATTTCACACACACTGCTCCGAAGAGAAACAATCAAAAGGTACGAGTGTTTTATTTTTATTTTAATTAATTAACTAATTATTTTAATTATCATAATTCATATATATATATATTATTTCAAAATTGCAGAACTGGTAAATGAGGACGATCTTCCAGAAGAGAACAAAGAAAGATTTCAATCAATGGTAAATCATTTTTTTATTTCTTACTAAGAATCCAATTTTAATATTTTTTTTGGGGTAAATACTAATTATTTCTTAATTAATTAAAATAATTGCAGATACAAGTGGAGATGCAAATACAGGAAATGAAGATATTACTGTGGTTAACAGGCAAACAAGCCGATATTCGGTTGCTATTATCGTCTCTGCATAATGTAAGATAATATTTTTCAAATTAATAATTTGACAATTTTTTTTTAAATTTGTGCAAAGCTCAGCAAATAACAAATAAGCCCTTTTTTTTTCTTCAGATTCTATGGAATAATAGTGGTTGGGTGACGATATCTCTTATAAATATAACCGAAAACTCGCAAGTGAAGAAAGCTTATCAGAAAGCACAGCTGTGTTTACATCCCGATAAGCTGCAACAGAGGGGCGCCACCGTACCGCAAAAGTACATTGCCGAGAAGGTCTTTTCTGCACTTCAGGTGAGGGTTATTTTAGTCATTTTCATGACATTCAAGAATGGAATTATATATATGTGTGACTAATTAAGATGTTGTTATTGTTATAGGATGCCTGGGCTGCATTTCTCTGCTAGGATGTCAGTATACAAATTGCGGCGTGATTCTACAGCAGAATCATCGAGCAAATGACAGTCACTTATGAGTCGAGTTTTAGAGTTTAGTTCACGAAATATTTATCAATTTTCGATCCAGCACATTTATCTTAAATGATTGTGCATTAATCTGAAACGAGATTACCTTAGTTTGTGTGTACTATAGTACTACTATTCGAATGTTTCGGGAAAAATTCAGTTTTCACCCATCAAGTTTGCACTGATTTCGTATTTAGTCCTTCATATTCACAAGAAAACTTTTTTAGTCCTTCTCGTCAATTTTCCGTTAGTACTAACGTAATCACGCGTGTGCCAATGACTGCCCTAAGAGACGAACTAACGGTAAATTAACGGGAAATTACCAAAAGTGTTTTATTGAAACATGAGGGGCCAAATGTGAAATCGATGCAAACTCGAGGGGTGAAAACTATAATTTTCCCAAAAGTTTCTCTAATTCTTGCCGACATTATTATTAATCTTTTACTACATGATAAAAAAGCTACTTTATTTTTTCTCGCGTGGAAAAAAGAATGTTGAATCCTTAACTTTGAATGATGATCTTTTTAATGGTGGCAAAAAAAAAAGTGAGGAAGATAAAAACAGATAATTATTAATTACTACACAAAGCCAAGTTGATTAACCACTAATTACACAATTTACATTGCATTAAAAATAAATAAATAAAAAATAGTAAAAGAAACAGAGATTGGCTGCTTATTATCCACTCCCCTGTTTTAACAATACCCTGAATTCTTCATCGGTGGTTTTAAGCATCGCCGGAAGTGCAACCTTTACTCCGGTATGTACAACCTCCAAATGCCGCGGCTTAATCCTCTTCTCCAAACTGAAGGCGAAATACTGAGGAAATTCCTTCAGCTCCTCCAATTTCCCCTTCATTTCATCATTGAAATACTCGAATTTCGGCTTGAAATTATTCTCAACGCTGAACGTGAACAGCGCCGGGCACCGGAGAACCATCGCCACCGCGTCGGATTTCGAGAACCCCATGCTGGAGAGATGCTCCAATTTCGGGATCAGAGTTTTCTCCACGCTGGAGACGAGCAAAATGGGGTCCTGGTACGCGAGCGCGTGCAGATCGGTGAAGCCTAGCCTGTGGAGATAGGTTAGGGCGGGTTTGAGCTGATCGGCGGCGTCGGAGATTAGGAATCTAGGGCATTTGTTGATGACTTTTCTGAAATTGGAGTCGGGTACTCTGAGATCGGTCGATAGGAAGGAGAAAATTGGGATTAGGTCGGAGTTTATGTCGGAGGTTAGGATTTTAGGGCACATGCCGAAGATTCTGCCGAGGTCTTTGAGATGGATGCCTTTTGATTGGAGGAAGGTGACGATTGCGTGGATTGATTGGATCGGGGCGGTGTGGAGGGTCGGGTTTTGGGTCAGGGCCCGACCCGAATCGACGCCCATGATTTCTAGGCAGAGGATTTTCTCTTTGAATTGGAGGGAGATGCTGGATTGGGTTTTTTGGTAGAGTGGGTGTTTGTGGAGTTTGTTTTTCGGTTTTTCTGTTAAGAGGTTGTTGTTGTTGTTGTTCTCTTGGTCTGGTTTTGGAGTGGTGAAGCACATGTTTGGGTTGAATGCCGCCGCCGCCGCCGCCGTCATTGTGGTGGTGGTGGTTACGGCTCCGCCGTGGAGTGTGGAGTGAGTGAGTGGGGGGGATTGGGTTGATTTGATTTGTTCGGTGGACTGTTTTCTTTTTGGTGAGTTCATGGATTGACACGTGGACGATTGGCGTGAGTTTATTGGCTTACGCTGGATATCATTATAGATTTGATTGGAAAATCTGGATCTTGTTGGAAATGACAAAAGTATCCCTGCGGGAAACACGTGGCGGGGCCTTGATGGACATTGGGCCATAATTGGGCCCCGATAAACTTGGTATGACGAAGCCCAATTAAAACTAGTATGATTGAAGCCCAGATCGGGAAACACGTGGCGGGCCTTGATAGAAATTGGGCCGAAATTGGGGCCCGAAAAAACCTAGTAACGAAGCCCAATTAAAACTAGTATGACCGAAGCCCAGATTGTACATTAGACATATATATATATATAAATATATATATATATATATATATATATATATATATATATATATATATATATATATATATATATATATATATATCAATCTATATATATATATATATCTATATATCTATATATATATATA